AAATGCCTGTCTTGCATCCCAACCGCAACGTGTAATGACCCGACGAAGAAAAACGGCCATGCGAACAGTGTGGATGTGGTTGCCAAAGCCCTGATAGATTGGCGTGTGGAGCAAGTCTATCCCGCGGCGGAAGGGGCGGAAGGGGTGCTGGAAGGGGGAGAGGGAGGGAGGGAAGGAGAGGGGGCAGGACAAGTGATCTACGTGGATGTTCACGGCCAAGTCTTTGCCTCCAAGGCGGCGGCGGTGGAGGCGTTGTTGTCGCGGGTCGTCCAGGAAGAGGAGCACCGGAAGATGAAGGCCCGAAAGCGCGGCGAGATGCGGCGGAAGCAGGAGGCAACCCCGGGTCGGGACGGCAGCATGTCCTTGTCAGCAGGGCCGGAGCCATCGCCTGCCAAGGTACCCGGAGTGCAGAGTCCATCGTCCCCTGCAACGTCCGCCCTGCCCTTGTCCAGCACGGCCAAAGCCGTAAAGGGCCCGGCATCGCGTCCCTCCCTCCCTCCTCTCCCTTCCATGAATCCCTCCGTTTTGGAGACGCTGGGGGGCACGCTTCCCCCCCTGCCCGCCCACAGCAATACCTCCAGCACCTCCTCGATCACGGGGGAGGCCGGGGCCTACCGACCCACTCCACTCGAAGCCGACGCGGCGGACGGAAACAAGGGGGAGGAGTTAAGGGGGGGCGGCGGCAGGGAAGACGACGAAGGGGAGGAAGGGAGTAGGGGGGAGAGAGGAATGGTAGATTCCACATGTCTGTCCCCCGCTTCCCTCGCCCTGGCCCGCTCGAAGGTGTACGACGAAGCGAGGACTTTCCTTTCGTGCGCCGTCCTCAAAATGCCCGTGCAGCTGGGTCCTGTTCGCATTCTGTCTTTTGGTGAGCGCTCAAGGGGAGGACAATAAGGAAGGAGGAAAAGATGTAGGGAAAAAAAATGGGGGGGGGTGTCGGTTTTTTTTCACTGATGCTCTGACAAACCAGAAAGTTCTGGTTCTGAAAGCGTCGATGTATTTAATTTTCACTCCTTTCTCCCTCTTTGCAGGTAAAATTGATTTTATTCGTCCCAAGTACCATTGTGAAACGGAAATCTGGCCGTTGGGGTTCAAAGCCGCGCGCGTGGAGATGAGTCATGTTTTGCGGCAGCTTCTTGTTCTCTTCTTCGAAATTACCGAGGGAGGGGACAAAGGTCCGAATTTTAAGGTGA